CGCGGCTGGGCCGCGTTCCCGACAGGACCGACGCGCCTCAGCGGAAGGGGCACGGGCAAGGCCGGCCCCGCCGCCCGCCCCGCCCCCCCCCGCCGGCCCGGCCACGCGCCCCGCCGCGCGCGGGGACCTCGGCCTGGCGGCGCGCCTGGCCGGGAGCCGGGCGAGGGGGGTGGGGCGGGGCGCGCGGCGGGCCCTCCGTCGGCCGTGTCCCTTGCGCGGAGGCGCGTCGGTCCTGTCGGGAACGCGGCCGAGCCGCACGCATGCGGTGCCTGGCCTCGGGCTCCCGGACGGGCTGCGCCGCCCGCGGAGGGAACGAGCCCGCGGTCCGCACCCCGCCGACGGGCCGTGGGCGCCCTGCCGCGGGCGGCGGCGGCGGTACGGCTGAGCTCGGACAGCGGGTTTCGGAGGCAGCCCACGACCCTTGGATGTGGGTTGCTGTGTTGTCCAAATGCAGCCGAGAGCCAGACTGCTAAAGGAGCAAAGGAGCCACTAATAATTGCCAGTACTTTCCTACGTGTCTTCCCCACTCCAAGAAAAAGCAGTTTTAGGCAATCTAAAAGGGAATTGCATTTGAATCATACTATTCAAATATAGTCTTGCTAGGGCCGTATTTGGAGTAGTTGTAGCAATTGCTTCCTTTGGACGCACAGGCAAGGAGCTGTTTTTTATTTAGTAATTGCTTTCTCATGCTGGTGGACTGTCTCTAAGAAGCTTCTGGCATGTTTGCCTACGTCGTCCTCGCTCGTAGATGCCTCTTAATCCATTCATAGTATAGTTCTGTGCAGTCTGCTCATCCCCAGTGCTCCTGTATAAGTCTACTGAATGCCAGGCGAGCGGAGATACAGTGCCATCCATGTAGCTGTGTGCACCTGGCACAGGTGCCTCATCAGAAGTAGGAAAGTCCTTCACCTTGTGGCGTTGACCAGCAGCAGAGGAATCAGTGAGGAATCCAACAGAAGAGGGAAGTGGAAAACATTGGTGGGTGGTTCTGTTCTGAGGATGGCAGCTGAGTTCAGTTACAGTTCCTCTTTCCACCTTTTTGCTGTCATGCGGCTGCTTTGGAGCAAGTGGCGTGTGCCACGAGGAGACCTGCTCGATCTCTTCCTCATGTGAAATAGTTCCTTTCACACTCCTCTTGCAACCACGGAAGCTCTGGGGTGTCGGGGGCTTCTCATCAGCCCAGCTGCTTTCCTACTCCAGATGGTTTGAAAGTTTGCGTACTGTTTTACAGCCTGTGCGCTGACTGCCAGACTTCGATCCATAAAACCAGACCAAATAAGGACAAAAATCCGCTTATCAGTGGCCCAAGAAAAAGTATTTGTTGCTTGGGTTAGAACCCATGCGTGCCTGCTGGAGCGCTTCTGATCTGAAGGACTGGAAATATTTTAGGATAGGATATAAGACAACTAACAACAAGATCGCCATCATTGTGGTGGTGAAAAGTGCAGAATGCAGTTCTTGGTAACTTATCTTACATAAGCCACCTGCTCGCTGATGTTGCTCAATATCTGATCTTCCATGTATCCTGAATATTGGTAGTGGTAATTGAAACTGGTAGGAGTTGAAGTGCATAGCAACTGGGGGACAGCAGGTTGGGGAAGACCGTTGTACCATCTTTCGGAAGGCAGAATTATGGACCGGCCCTACCGTCGGGCAGAGGCCTCTTCTGACTTGGGCACCGATTTTGCGTTCCAGGAAAGGGCAGCAAATTGCTTATTTGATACGGTATTGCGATATTTTAATGGCCAGAATGGTAAAGAGGCACTTCTCAGGTTTCCTGCCTCAGCTGCCAGAAATAACACGACCCTCGTTCGGCACTCTGCTCCATGACTTGGGAGGAGTGGGTTCCCCTTGTTTCTTGCCTCGGGCAGCAAAATCGCTTGGGTTGCCCAGGAGTGAAGGAATACAATGTCTAAACCAAGAAAGGGAATTTGACTCATGTTTATGAAGAACTAGCATTAATGACTCAGGACTGTATTTATTGAGAGCTGAACTTTTTACAAAGAACAGGTAAAGAAAGGTATCTGAACAAAGCTTGTGAATGTATATAAGCTTTAATGGCAAACAATGCGCTGTTTATTGCAAAATTGCAGCCTTTGGCTGCATGGCTCTTGGTAACTCCTGTCTGCACACACAACTGCTGTTTTGGCTTTTAAAAAGCGAAGTCCAGTAAGGAGTGTACACGGTTGACAAGAGCTGTCAGTAGATCTAGAGAGGCAGATAATTCTCCGTTCTCCAAAACAATGCACGGCCGCTTCTATTATTTCACTGTCTGTATATCCCTGCCTTCTCCGGAGGAATGATTATCCTGCTCTTCAGGAGAGTGTTGTCTGCCCGTGCAGGCAGAAAAGGCCTGCTTCTGTTGCACGGCACATGCTGACTCTCTTCCACCCATGTTGCCTTTCAGAGAATGGCTGCTCCCTGTGTCCCGAGCTCCTCGTCTCTGTTGCTGAGCCAGGGTGCGATGGGTATCCTTCGCTGGACTCTCCCGAGAACTGTAAGCGCATGCGGCACGTCTGTTCCCCGCGGATGTTGTGTGGGTAGCTGCGAGTTTGGAGCAGGCGCGCCGTGAAGCTGCTGCTCTGCAGCTGAGTGGGATTGTGGGCAAGTGTCGCGGGGGGGGGGTGTCAGTCAGAGACTTATTCAGAATCCCAGGAATTTCTCCTCCTCCGTTGCACTTGATCCAGTCACCCCAGAACAGCCTCCTGGTCGAAAAACAGGGTGCAGAACCCGGGGCGGCCACAATCGCTGCTGCTGCACCTCGCCCTGGCGTGAGGTGCACAAAAGCCCCTGTGTCTGGAGGCTTCTGTGCACCGAGGGTGGGAAGCATAAGATGGCTCCCTTAGTCACCTGTGGCAGCCATGCATTTCATGCCAGCGAACCAGTGGCTGGCGGAGGAGGAATGGACCCCCCCCCCCCCCGCCCCGCGCTAGCCTGCTCGGTTTCTCTGGAAGTTGCAGAAGGATGTCTCGCAGCACAGAAGCGCAGCAGAGCGTTCTGCCCCTCTTCCACTGAGTAGGAAGCAGTGTTCTCATTTTACTGCACTGAAGGGAGCAGGGGCTCTTCCTGCCGTGCAGCCGGCTTGGAAAGGCCGGTGAGTAAAAAAGATGATGATCGCACGCCTTTTGTGGCCTTACTTGTGAGGCTGAATTGTGCCCCAGGCCGGCCTCGCACGCCGGCGTACGTCTGCCCCGAAGCTGCTTAACGCCGTGCCTCTCACACGCCGCACGCTTTTTCAGATAAGCTGAGCCTTTCGGAGCAGCAGATGCTTCTCACGGCGGACAGCGTCTGGGGAGCGCTCCGAGGTAAGGGGAATGAGCTTCTCCCCGTCCCTCATCACGGACCTGTGTCAGCACACGACGATAGTATCGGCCCGCTATAAACGGACTCTGCTCTTGTTCCCCAGGGTTGGAGACCTTCAGCCAGCTCGCCAGGAGAGACGATGTTGGGACAGTGAGTATCCCCACCATGCGTGTGGCGCCGGTGCCCCTTTTGCCGCTTCTCTCGTACTGTCGCGGAGGCTGTCCGTGTGCGCAGGTTTTGCCTCCCTTTCCTGGACTGAGGCAAAGCCACCTCCGTAAAAGGGACATTTTCAGTGATCACCCCTCTTAGCTAAGGAATATGGTTGAAGAAGGCAGCTTCAGGCACCGGTCTCTGCGGCCCTTCCTAGCAAGCGGCTGGCCAGAGGCCTTGGCATGGCTCCAGAAACTGCCCTGGCTCTTGGACGCTGGGCAAGCTCACTGCACCGCCGGTTAAATCCGAATCCCCTCGCCGTCCCTCTTCCAGCTCGGCCCATCCGAGTGGCTGCAAATGCAAATGCGGCGCTCGCCTTAGCCGACGTGGCTGCCCCTGCGAGGAGCGGCGTAAAGATTCAGGAAGCAGGCCTTGAATGCCAAAAGCTCTTCCTCTGTTAGGGCCTCTCCAGATTTGAGTAAGACACGCACACACACACACACGTGTGCGCCCATTGCAGCTTTCATGGAAACTTGCTCCAGTCCAGTTCCTCTGTCCTCTAAGGTATGGCTCTTTTTGGCTCGTGGGAGGGATAAAGGGAAGGAGAAGTGACCTGTGCAGCGCGCGCTTTGGGTGCTGCGTGAGCGGGCACAACACGGGCGGTTGATTTTCAGGGCCGGCCAGCCAGCCAGCCTGGCTCCATGCGCATCTGGAGGTGGGGCCTGGGAAGCCCCAGCTGGCAAAGGGGCTTGGAGCCTCTCCTGACTCCACTCCGTCTTCTCTCCTGTGCAGTTCTACGTGAACAAGACGGAGGTTGTCGACTTCCCCCGCTTTCCCCACCGAGGCCTGCTGCTTGATACCTCTCGCCACTACCTGCCCCTGAGAGCCATCCTGGAGACGCTGGTACGTGACTTCGGCCACCCTGCGCCCTTCGCTTCCAGGCCGCTCTGCAGAGCAGCCAGCTTAGGAGAGCACCTGGTTTTCCACCCCGACTTGGAGACGCCCAGAATGGAACCCAGAGCCTCCTGTATGCAGAACTCGTGCTTCTCCACCAGCCTACGGCCATTTCTTCCTACAGAGCAGCCTTCTGCAACTTGGTGGTCGTGCTGTGCTGGGGATGACGGGAGTTGCATTCCCAGTGCTTCTGGGGGCTGTAAACTGGGAAAAACTAGTAGCGGACCCAGAAAAAGAAACCCTCTTTCATAAACTCTGCTCTGGGGGCTAGTGCAGAGCATCCTTTTTGCTTTCTGCAAGCTGTCCCAGGTAATCCCAATTTAACCCCCACAAAGAAGAGGGTTTAGAAAGTGGAGGAGGACGCGTGTGTGTGAGAGAGCATGCAGGTGAGTGTAGATTGCACTGCCACCAATGTACCAGGAAGTGGATCTGCTTGTAAAGGTGTGTCACCTTTGCAGCCCAGTAAAGAACCTCGCCTCCTGTGCCAGTATATTCTTCTCCCGGGTGCTGCGGCTGGCACTGCCGCCCTGTCTAGTGTGCCCAGGAGCAGACTGGCCATCTTGCGACACGGACTTGGAGCTGGAACAAGAGGGAGCGCTTGTCCTGCAGTATTCAGGCCCTACCTGCGTCCTGACAATTGTAGACAGCGGGTTGTTTACAAACGTTGCGTTCAAAGATCTTGAATATGTTCGATGGCACCCTGTGTACGTGTGAAGGTTAAGCGCTTTGCGGTCGGCTTCCTGCATTGCGTGACCTTTGTCAAAAGAAAAAGAAGGGCCTGAACTGCACACACCCACGTGAGGCCTGCAGTAAAATGTTGCAGCGCATTCTCCGTCAGTGCCTTGCTGCGGGAGACTACCTTCCACTTTCTCCCAGTTCTTGCTCCTTTCCCCCTCTGTGGTTGCCATTCTGTGCCCGCAGAGCACGTTCAGCTCTTACTGGGCGGCTCTCGAGAGCCCCTCCAGGAGCCTCCATTTCTCCATTTCTGCCAACCCCGAGGCTTTCCCAGGCCTCTCGATACCTTCCTCCTTCAGCTTGGCTAATGCTGTTTTGGTTACAAAGGCAGCGACACTCAGAGTGTGTGTGCATCAGAACGAGACAAAAGAGCAAACCAGTATTTTGAGTCCGCATCACTTTCTCGTAAGTCCGTGCAGTCACATTTCTTAAAATAAATAAATCAGATGAATGCAGAAGGGTCTTTCCATGCCAGCTGCGAGGAGTGGAGGCAGAGGTCTTGTCCCGATCCCCTGCCTGGGAGCATGGAATATGCCATGGTCCTTCAGACACAGTCCGGGGTCCATAGGCCTGTGATCACCTCGGGGTGCACATTTAAACAGAGAAAGGGCAGCCAACTCCCCGTGCGTTGAGAGACTGGCCAGCAAGTACCGCGTGAGGCTGACCTGCTGTCCTCTCCGTTCTCCCAGGATGTCATGGCCTACAGTAAGTTCAACGTGTTCCACTGGCACATTGTGGATGACCCATCCTTTCCGTACGAGAGCATGGTGTTCCCCGATCTCAGCCTGAAGGTAAATCTTGCATTGGCAGCTGCACTGGGTGATTTCAAGAAGTCCCACGTCTCATGCGGCTCCCGGGACTCTGTTTCCTCTATTTGGCGAGACGGTGGGTGGGAAGACATCTCAGAGCCAGATTCCAATGCTTTTCCCCTTCCAGAAGCTTCAGCACCACAAAACATGTTCCCTGAAGCAATCAGTATGTTGAACTGGATCCATGCTTACGCTGCCCAGACTGCAGGGATGGGAGCCACCCTGAGTTCCGGGAAACCCCCCGAAATGCTCCGCACAGAGTCAGGAAACCTTGCTCTCTCGAGGGAGCTGTGGCGTGCTTTGGGGAAGGGGGATCCCCAAGACCTTTGGCATGCAGAGCCGCCTCGCCAAAGCCAGCTCCTGGAGCTGCCCCTTGCACAGGTGGAGCACGAGCAAAGCTGTTCTGCTCCATAGACAACAAAGCTCCTTTTCATCTCTTTTCTAGAAAGTTTATTTGGAAGTTGCATAAGAAAGTGGATTTCCTGCTTGGCCTGACCATAAAGTTGCCCCACCCAAATAGGGTAGGGCCCATCTCTGTCTCAGCCTCTGGTTTCTGTCAAACGGAGTTGACCTTATCCAGGCAGAAAGTCAGAAGCACACATTTCCCCGTGGCTTAGACCTTGTGGCTTCTGTGCCTTTGCAGGGGGCCTACAACCCTGCCACACACGTGTACACGGCCAGCGACGTGAAGACGGTGCTTGAGTACGCCCGGCTGCGCGGGATCAGGGTGATCGTGGAGTTTGACACACCTGGCCATACCCTCTCGTGGGGCGCAGGTACGGCTGGCCCGGAGGTCTGCAGCGTGCTCGCGTGGGCCAGTGTGCGTTCTGAACCAGAAATGCAAGCGCCTGGTGGAGGGAGGTGTGCTCGGAGCAAGCATCTTCGTGCCCGGTCAGGGCTGCAGAGCCCCCGCCTGGGGGCCGCATTCAGCCTCCTGGGGCCCCGGTCTGATCCCCCACGGTTCTCCGTAGGGCCACAACCCTTTCTCTCAACTGCTGGGCTTTCAGTGGGCTGCTTGGTGGTGGTGCCTTTCGTTCCCCCCCATTCTGAGAGGCTGAAATGCTTCTCCTGTGACTCTGCGCTTTAAACCAAAACAATCTGGTGCTTTGTGAGCTGTGCTCTGCCTCCTCGGCTCACCATGGAATTAGCCCTCCTGCTGGAAGGGCTTCAGCACCCTGGAGCCGAGTGTCTGCGTGTGTGCGCCCTTTCGGCACCCGGATTGCTGTGTCTGTCTGTCCCGTGGACAAGGCTTGGGCGCTTGTTTAAAGACGAATGTGCTGCTGGCTCGCTTTGACCTGCACCGACAAGCGCAGGGACGGAACCCCCGTCGTGGTTTGGCATGGAGCACGCATGGCGCAAATGCTCATTTCATTGGACTGACTGACTAACCTGCAGGGCCTGTACACCTTTCCCCATCTGGGCAGATTCTAGAGCGCTGAACAGTAAAGAAGAGAAAAGAATAAAGCACCATGTTAAAACAGAAGAGTAATTTAAAAAGTGGCTGGCCAACCGCAGAAGGTTTCCTGAAATAGGGATGTTCTGGTTTGGGGGCCTGCTTGACCTCCATTTCAGCCCCCAAGAGTTGGGCTTCCACTTCTGCTAATGGGGGGCTTGGTAATGCTTTGGGTCTTGCGGGTCTTGGGAAACAGGAGCAGTTTTTCTCTGCGTTGCCAGAATTCCTTTGAATGCCGGCTGCTCTTCCAGCATGACTGACGCACGGGGGCCTGGCTCGCTCCGTCCGCCCAGAGGCCTGTTTTGAGTTCTAAAGCAGTCTTGTCTTGGGACCCCTTCTATTTGTCTGAATTGTGCATTGCTTTGGGGCAACAGTCCCTTTCCCATTGTGCGACCCTAATCCTGCAATGCATCCTTCCTTTTTGGTAACCAGACGCACTGCTCCCGGTTTTGCCTGACAGCCGGACTGCTTCCAGCTTCCTTCTACCATGGGATCGGTATTCTGACTCAGAGGAACCACGAGCGTGTTGCCACCTCCAGGCCCCCATTTTTGCCTGCTTGCTGTTCCACGTGACCGAGGAGAAGCCAACCAGACTTTTCCCTACCTCCGTTTCTGTGTTTGCTTCATCTCAGGCGCCCCCGGCTTGTTGACACCTTGCTATAGCGGCCCGAAGCCGTCTGGATCCCATGGGCCAGTCAACCCCATCCTCAACACAACCTACCAGTTCATGAGCGCGTTCTTTGCCGAGATCAGCGCGGTCTTCCCCGACTTCTACGTTCATCTGGGCGGAGATGAGGTTGACTTCACCTGCTGGTTGGTCTGGCTCTCCTGGAGGGATTTGGAAAGGGGGCGGGAGCATGAGGAAGCGGGGCTGGCAGGCTTCAGGGGCTGGCACCTTCTGGCATCCCAAGGGGGAACCAGGCTTCATGGCATCGGTCCTGTTGACCCAGAGGTATTTCCTTGCAGCTGTTAAGGCTGAAACAGCGGGCAGTTCGGCTGAACAGAACTTGTGCCCCTGCGTAAGCAAGTTTCCCGCCTTGTCGATGCACCTGAGACAGGGCTGCTCCTCTTCCCTGCCTGGGGAAATTGGCAGAGGCTACAGCGAAGCTGGCGGAGGGTTTCCTCTTACAAGGAGGACTCTGCGAGTAGAAAAGCTGTGGGATTGGAGGGATCCAATCCCTGGATTGTGGCTCTCTAGGAGCTACTATTATTTAATAGAGAACTCCGTTCTTAAAGGGTCGTAGGAGGTAACCTTGTCCTGATTGAGACCATGGTTCTTCAGCTAGACCCGGACCCTGCCTGGCGGGAGTTTTGCGCCCCTACTTGGAGGCCCGGTGAATCTTCTAAGTAATAATATTCAGAACCCCCCACCTCTCATCAAAAGCACGAAAAGCTCAAGTCATTCCTCCTGGCTCCCGGTGGTGAAGGAGGCATCCCTCCTTCAACTTCCCCAGCCTTCCCCAGCCGCCTGCCTTCCGCACATGCTTGGACCGCGACACCCAGAATCCCCAGTCAGTTGGCCCTGCCAGATGGGAATTCTGGGAGCTGTGGTCCAAATGCCCCTGCAGGCCACCAGGTTGGGGAAGGCTGTCCTATAATATCGCAGGCTAACATCGTGCTCCCTTGAAAAGCTGGCATGAGCGATTCTGCCTCGTCCAAGCCACGGTCACTGCATCCGGGGGTCGTTCTTGTTGGGACGTGAGGTTTCCCGCCTTCACCTTCCTGCTGGGCTCGGAGGAGGCATTTCTTGCGGAATGTCTTGGGAGCTGCCTCTTACCTGAACCCTCTCTCTCACACGCAGGAAGTCTAACCCAGATATCCAGGCATTCATGCAGAAGATGGGGTTTGGCCAGGATTACACCAAGCTTGAATCATTCTACATCCAGAGGTAAGGGCTTTGCTCCCGCTTGCCAGGGGCTTCCTTGGAGCAGGGTCCTGGGGCTGCCTCCAAGCTTGGGGGATTTCCGGTCATTCAGGCAGGGCTGCTCTTTTTGGGCCTCTGCAGGCGGAGCGGGGCACTGGTGCGGTTCGGGTGCTCCCCCGTGAGACAAGTTATCCGCGTTCAGGGCTCCCCTTGGCTGTGGAACAGACTTGTGGCCTGTCACTGACTTGCAGCCTAGTCTACCTCACAGGGCTGTCGTGAAGAGAGTAGGAGAATTACATCTTGCCTAGAGATGTAAAGGTCGGCAGGGGGGGTGGGAAACCTGGGAGTGGGTGGGATAATGTTCTTTTCCCATTCCCCCGCCCCCCAAAAAACTTTTAAAATGTTTGGCTTTAATTATTGCACTTTTGGGGTCCTCTATAGTCAAAGCTCACTAGGATCTTCACAGAACATGGATTTAAGAATTTAACACCCCTCTTTTCTCTCAGATCTTTTTCTGAGAATGACTGTCTGTGTTTGTTTAACACTTTGGAGGAGACGAAGTTCAGAACATGTAATAATTTCCTTTGTTTTGGCATAATCCTGGGGTTCTCTTTTTAAGTCTAACATTTTGCCTCCTCCTCATAAAAAGGAAAAACAAAAGATGGTAGTTTTCATTTGCTACAAAAATTCAAAACATTTGAAAGTGAAGGTTATACGTTTAGATTTAATACACTAAATATGATCATTTAATGAGCAAACCAACCTGAAGTTGACAAAATGACTTTAGATCTTTCTAAGTCACCGAAATAGATTTTGCGTATTTCCCCTTTTTCCAGGAAGGAAAAAATGTCAGGAAGAAAAGTTCCCCCCGGTTTCCAAACCTCCACTATCTGCTCTCCTCTGCTTTTAGCCCCTCCAAGGAAAAGTGATATTTTCTGTTTTCCTAAGCTTACGGTTGTTAGCAAACTTGTCCGTTCTCCCAGCAGCTCCAACTTCCAAGAAATCCAGGGAGGGGGAATCATGGCTATTGTGTACAATCTGTTGTTTTTTCTTGTTTGGAGAACTGATTCAAGAGAAGACTTTTGCTGCACTCCTGTATACATAAGCATCTGAGAGCAAGCTTCATTGCAATTAGTGGAACTTACTTCTGAGTAGACGCATATAGGGTCACACTGTTGGGCTGCACCTGTCTCTCCTCCCGCACCCCACTCGTTGGCACACGCAGTGCTTCCCCGTCAGGAAATGTTCCTGACGTGTAGGAAGCAGCCTTTGCATTGGGGGTGCCAGCGAGGAGGGAGCTGTCTGCCCGCAGTCACGTCTTCCGTGGGCCTTCTCTTTGCTCCAGGCTGCTGGATATCGTCTCTTCCTACCGCAAGGGCTACGTGGTGTGGCAGGAGGTTTTTGATAACGCCGTGAAGGTGAGGAAATGAACGAAAGGGGCTCTCTCAAGTTCTTTTGCCTCATTTCTCCTTTCTCCACCTCCCGTTTCCCAAATACTTGGCAGGGCTGCTTGCATGTTGAGATTTGCATTCATCTCTTTTCTTTCTTCTCTAACTGTGGGACCACCAAGACAGAGGCCATGGTGGGGAGTCTCGGCTCCAGGGTGCTGCCGGGTTGAAAGACGGCGGGCATACCGAACACGTTCCCCCAGACTGGGGGAGCCACTGGTGTCTCTAGACGCTGAACTTCGTGCCCAGAGAACTCCTGCTCTTTCGAGTGGCATCCTGTTTGTGGAGCCAAATCTGCCCTGGCCTCCTCGGCACCGACTGTTCTGGTGGCTCGCTTTGCTCATCTTCATTCTCCTGTTGCACCCCCTGCATCATCTTAGGTGTTCCTCCACCTTGGGCAGAGACCCCTGGCAAGGCAGGTAGCGAGCACCTTTTCAAAGCACTCCTCATTTGGACAAAAGAGGCTCTTAATCCTCAGAAGGCTGTGGTGAAGAGACAGCCCTGCCCTAGAGCGACAAACTCTGCAACATGGTCGAGGGCATCTTTCTGCCCGGCAGACTTCTTAATCTCGACCTCTGCCCCACAATTCTAGATTGTTCCTGAGAGGGAGCATACGTTGGAAGAAATAACGAGCGGCGTGACTGAGTCGGGAAGTGGCTGGGCTCCATGCGAGGCTGCAAATCACGACGTGGGCTGCAAATTAAATGTTGGGGAGGGGATGATTAATTAAGGAATCGGTTAAAAAGCGTAATCCTGTAAAGGGATGGACGAAACCCACAGCGAGAAACATTTCAGTGTTAGAAAGGGGGAAAAGTGATTAAAAAAAAACACCCCAAAACTACAATTATGAAACCTGAACTAGGATGTTAATGTTGCAGTGATACAAAGGGGCACCTGTGATAGGCACACGCATTTACACAACCTGTGAAAGCGCCAACATCTCATCTTTGTCAACGGCTGATACAAAACGGTGAGCCTCACGAATGAGCCAGAGTCTCCTGCTTTAAAAATGCGGCTGAGGCTCCTGGCTGTGGCTTGAGCTCCGGTGGAACAGCTCTTTCCTCGGAGCAAAGGCTCCATCTCCCTTCGGCAGGTGTGCCTCCCAGGAAGGCGGTTCCTCGGTACGTGGGTTTAGCAAAGTCTTCTGCGCCCCCCCCCCCCTTGAGCAACTGCCGCGTGTCCTCTGAGCTGTTCACAGGCTTGCCATAACTCCGCGGGGCTTCTCTGAGCAGCCGTCTGGCAGAAAGTGGGATTCTCCACTGGACCGAGGGCTTTGACGCCTCTTCTGTTCTGGCCAGGTGAAGCCCGACACCGTCATACAGGTGTGGAAAGAGAACGGCGGGTCCTACCAGGCGGAGATGGCCCGCGTCACCAGCGCCGGCTACAGGGCCCTGCTCTCTGCTCCGTGGTACCTTAACCATATCGCCTATGGACAGGATTGGCTGGGGATTTACCAGGTGGAACCTCTGGAATTTGAAGGTGCGTTTGTTGCGTCGGCTTCCTTGTGCCTCCTAAAACCTGGGGCCCAGGAAGGCGGGCAGGGGGCGGAGTTGGTCTTACTAATATTAGTAGACGTACTATGAACGCAAGCACAGTCAGCCTTACTAACGAGCAGGACAAGCACCATCCGTTGGATTCCTAAGGGCATCATAACTGTGGCACGGCGCAAAATGCAAGATGGTGGATCCCTACCCCCAATTTATTATTACATTTATATTCCGCTTTCCCCACAAGGAACTGAAGGCAGCGTACAAAATCCTCTCACGCTCCATTTTATCTTCACAACAGCCCTGTGAGAGAGGCTAGGTTGAGAGTCAGGGACCGGCCCAAAGTCAGCGAGCTTCACGGCTGAGCGGGGACTACAGCCCAGGCCTCCCAAGGCCCAGTCCAGCTCTAACCACTGACACTGGCTGCCCAAGGAACTTCCAGCAGGAGGAAGAGGCTTGCGCAGCAAGGGGTGGGTAGACGGGAAGCATTATTTCAGGTGAATGCACTCGGGCTGGGCTTCGGGAGGGCGTGGACGCGTTTGGGCCAGCGAGTCCTGTGGCTGGCCAGTTTGGAGCCGGCCTCAACGGAAGGAGCAACGACTTGCCCGGCTCTGCCTCCCTCGCCACAGCCAGCGCTGCCCCGCACCAGGCTCCGAGCAGCCTGTCCCAGTAGTCCTGGGGAACCTGCTTCGTCTTATGCTTGGGGTCCCCCACCCCTTTCGCATGCTTTGCTGTGTTCTTTATATTGAGCCCTGCGGAAAAGTCCTCAAACCAGCAACTTGAATGGTTTGTCTGATTCTGCTGGCTTGCTCTGTGTGTGTGTCTGTTATCCTCTGACCGAGAGAGAGACACTGCACTCGCAGTTGTAAAATTGCTGCAGCCACACCGAAATGGAGCACAAAATTGATGGAAATACAGCTAAGCGTGGATTAAGAAGGCCCACGGGCATCTTGGGGCTTGTCAGACCATGTGGCCCTTTGGGTATAGTAACGTTGCTGATCCGACACACCTGCACTAAAGCAGCGGAGCCCTGCAGTGGCCGAATTGGCTGAATCGTGAATGCTCGGCGGTCTCTTTCCGGCAGGCAGCCCTGAGCAGAAAGCGCTGGTGATCGGCGGAGAGGCCTGCATGTGGGGCGAATACGTGGATGTGACGAACTTGACTCCCAGGCTTTGGTAAGACGGGAGGTCAAGCCGCCCTTGGCGGTCCGTGGCTTGCGGGTTGCCCCTACAGCGAAGAAAGCTAAACTGGAGACGGCTGAGCCGCGGGTCGGTCTCACATACGTCGCCCCAGCCCTTGGGTGTTTGTGCGGGTGATTCGCTGGATCAAGGTGTGCATGTACCTGTACGTTTCTTACATCCAGGGAAGGAATTCCTTGGTCTTGACCAGCCCATTTTGGGACAAAGCCAGTGGTACTTGCAGCCCTTGGGGAGGGGGCATCACTCACATTTCTAAAAAAAAAACGTGTTGTACTACAATTCCTATTATCCCAGCTGCTGGAGAGGGCTTGTGGGAGTTGCAGTCCAGCAAGGCCTGGAGGGCCACGGCTCAGCCCTGCTGTGGCAGGCTAAGCAAGTCTAAACCGGGAGCAGTTCCCTCTCCACCCCTGGGAAGAGGCACTTCCCCCTGTGGGTGATGGGTTGTGCCCTCCCCCAGCCGCAGGGCCCCCCCCCCCCCCATCTACCAGCTGGGTGGCGTGGCTAGCGCTCTGCCGCCGTGTGGGCCTCTTCTGCCCCAGCCAGAAAACCGCGAGGCCTCCCTGCGGCTGCACTTCAGCGGCGCAATCTGGCCTCGTTCCGGAGCGCAGCAGTTCCCATCCTCTCCTCCTCGCCGCGTTGCTGTTCCCCTCGCGAGTGGCCCCCAAGGGGGCTTGCACCCTGAAAAAGCAGCTCTCGGTCGGCTGGAGCAGAGGGAAGAGCTCCCTTTGGCCTCTCCGTTTCCTCCAGGCCCAGAGCGGGGGCCGTGGCTGAGAGGCTGTGGAGCAACAGGACGGTGAGGAACCTGCAAGACGCTTACGCAAGGCTGGCCGACTTCCGATGCACCTTGCTCAGGTGATGGCGCGCCGTCGGCCTCCCCGGGAGACTCGGGGGAAGCAGCGCCGCTGGGGCTTCTCATGCTGGGTCCAGCACTCGGCCTGCCGCGGCGGCCAGTGCCCGGCACAGCTCACGTGCGGTTGGTCACACGGGACGCTCCCTGCCCCACTGGCTTCGTTTGAAAAGCAACAGCATGGAAGGAATAAAGGGGGGGGAGGGAGTGGGCGGGGGGCAGGGGAGTGGTCTTTCAGCCGGACCGGTGGGACGGCTCCATTCCCCTCCCCTCTTCCTCAGTGCAGCCAGGTGCTTCTGGGGAACCGGCGGGAAAGCAAAGCATCCCTCGCTCTCCGTTGCCCCAGTGCCCTGCCCCTGAGGACAGCTAGTAGCTGCTCAGAGGCACGTTCCCCGCAGCAGGGCAGGGCCCAGGTGCTTGGAGGCGCCTTGCGGCCTGGTGCCTCCGAGGGGCCCCGAGGCGGACGGCTGCGTCACGCATGGACGCCACTGATCCCCCTTTTTTCCTCTCTCCTGCAGACGAGGGATCCAGGCGGAGCCGCTCTTTACAGGATACTGTGACTATGAGTACAATGGATTTTGACTCTCGCAGTCTGTTCCTGTATTTTGTTGTGTCACATGTGGGAAAGAGGGGAGCGTGTGTGTCATGAATGCTTCCGTGGAATCGGTCTGTTGTGGATCCTAGATTCCGGGGTTGGTTAAAGAAGCACTTTTGCGGGTGGGAGATATAATTATGAGCGGCCAGAACAATCAATGCAATAGAGCCAGAAGGAAAAGTGGTTTTTCTCCTGTGTGGTTACTGGTTTTATTTTTTTTGCGGGGGGGGGGGGCGGTTCCCTCACCTGCTAGAGGTGCTGCATTTAAGGGATCAGGAGACATGGGCAATCTTGCAGTTAAGTTTGTTGAAAGGCTTTTCAGGTGAAATTGCACGGTGAACTCGGGGGCTTTTGGTAATCCAGTGCGGAGTGGGGAAGAAGTGAAAATGACTTTTGCCCTCCAGATCTTCCCCCTGCCTTTTCCACTACATGGGCTTTTTGCCCTTCTAGCTAGAGCATTTGGGGGGGGGGGACCATCAAAGGCTCATGATAGCTTCTGCCCTGGCCCCTCCAGCTAGCTCCCCTCTGCCCCCAAAACACCCCCTCCCCTTTGCAAGGTTGCCTCGGCGGCCTCGGAGAGTGGCTGCCACAGTTCTTCCTGCACCCGCTGTGGAGGGTGGGCGTGCATGGAGCTCCGGCCCTGAGCTTGGAGGGGGCACCACCTGGAGCCGCGTGCAGCCCCCCCGAGTTCCACAATGGGAGGAAGGTGGGACGGAAATACCATAAATGAATGCCAGCAGGGCGTCATCCACGTAGAATTGGGGTCGTTCCAGAGAGTTGTGTTGCCAGGACCTGCAACAGAGGAATTTCGGAGGAAGATTCCGGCATGCAGACTTAGTATTTGGTGTAATCAAAGCAGTTTGCCTTGCGGGTTTGCTCTTGACCAGCGTCTTCTGTCACATCGCAGGTGTTAGTTCCCCTAGCCAGCCACTCGGATGGCTTGAAAGGAGGTTGGGATCATCCGTGGGGAACGAGGCCTGTGGCAGCTGCCCGGGCACACTGCCCCTCAGGAACCGGAGGCAGTGTGCCCACGGGCATCGGCCGCAGTGGCGCATGGGTGGGGGGTGTGGGGGCCCTCCTGCCTTGCCTTCTGCGGGCATCCGGGTGGTCACTCTGAAGGGAGGGCTGCACTAGGCAGATGTTGGTCTGGCCAGCGGGACTCGAGTCCTTCCTGCTGGGGTGAGGAGGAGGTGGTCACGTCGGCCCTTGGAAGTCGGGCATCAGCCGGGCCGTGCTTGAAGGTGGCACCGGCTTGGCGGGAGCCGCCCTCCCAGCGCTGAATAGTCGCGTGGCCCACGAATGACGCCTCGGCGCTCCCTCTCTCTGTATGCGCGCACGTGACCCCATGGATCTGCCAGCAGAGAGTCCCCCTTGATGCGCCTGGCCGGGTCTCTGTCCGTGTGGCCTCTGCACAAGGCCTTTCGGAGGCCCCAGCCCTCTGCGCGCGCTCTCGCCGTGCTCGCCCGTCTGGACGTGGCCCGTGCTTCACGGGGCTTGGCTGCCCGCTGCTGCCGTACCGCCTGGCGCAGGCATGAAGCCCGATGCGGCGCTCGTTCCGTGGGGGGAGCGTTCTGCCGCAGCGCCAGCAGGTGGCAGCACGTGCCCGGGCACGGCGGGCGCTGCCCTCCCTCCTGGAATGCGCCTGCTGAGCCGCGGGGGGGGGGGGGCGCCAAGGCAGCGCTGCGCCCGCCGGCCTTCCGAAGAGCTGCCGGCGCGTCCGACAGGCGGCAGACAGTTGCCTCTCCGTGGGTTCGCTTGTGTGCTGGGAGCCGAGCTGGCAAGCGTGTGCAAAAGTGGCTGGCACCAGTGGTGGAACACACACCCTTGTGCACACCTCTGTCATGCTCACACACACACACACACAGGGCAGCGGGGAGACGCGCATGGATGACAGCAGAGCGCGGGCCACGCGTTTCCCCCTGCCCTCCCCTTCCTCTTTTTCTCCTCTTCTCTCTCTCTCCTCTTAATTGGGATATTGCTAACCCAGCATGGAAAGTCCTTTTGGGCTTACTGGGTCTTCCTCTCAGGCGGTGAACCAGCCGTGAACACGGCGGGGCTTGGTCCGACCTCGAGTTCCTGTCGCTTCTCCGGGGCTGTGCTGACTGCCAGAACCTCTTCGGGATTTCTGGCACCGCGGTGCCTTTCGCAGACCCCCCTGGGGATCGGGCCCGAGGACTTTTGCATGCAGAGCAAGCGCTCTGCTCTTGAGCACCGTCCCCGAAGCGCCTCCCCTCTCTCGCATTTTGCGAAAATGACGGGGCTGATGGGCAAGAGCTGTTGCCTGGCTTGGAGAGCACCGTCTTGTGTCGGGCGCAGTGTTCAGCTTCGTTCAGTCGGAGGAGGGCATTCCGAATTTGAGGGTTTCCTCCGATTTACCTAAGGAGTTCTGTTCTGTTTCGGACTTTTGCAGCTGTGTCCGCTGAAAGCGTGCATGTGCCAGAGAATCGCAGAGTAGCTCATGTGCAGTAAGCCGAGCAGCGCCATCCTGCCCCACGAGCGTGCAAGCGAAAAAGACACAGCACGCCAGGAAGCGAGGGCGGGGGGTGGAGTATTCAGCGGGGCTGGCGGAAGAGTCCTGCTTCTCCTGTGGGGCACTGGGGACTAGCAGCCAGTCTCAGTATTGTGCCCTTTAAAAGTCCACGCGCCCTCACTTCAGTATCCCTGAAAAAAGGCAGCTTTTCCTGGCTGCACGATTTTTCAGGGAAAAGGCCCAAGCTGAGCTCCAGGAGAAGCCCGGGCGGTTTTTTTCTCGGTGGGTGTCGGAGCGACACGGGCAACAAACCGACCGACATGCCTCCCTTCCCTGGAACAAGCCAGCAGGAAATCCTCGCGGAGACGAATGCTGGGGTGGGGAAGGCTTCGGGGGGCGCCGCTTGGCCCCTCGGCCGTGCCGGCTCTGCACCAGCTCCTCCGGGCAGGCGTTTGGGGCCAGCGCTGCCGAGCGGAAGAGGAGGAAAGGTCGAGCTGGTCTCTTAGCAACTGCTTGCCAGTTCGACTCTCCTGGTTGCCATGGCAGTTGCTGTGATACTGCCATTGCTGAATTGGGTTGAGTGGCCGAGGCGGGGGGGGGGGGGGCGTGCATGTGTGCACGCACACACCCACAGCCCTACCGGTCAGGTCCCTACAGGTGGCAGAACTGCGCTTCAGCTCTGCCAGCCGTGGGCGAAGTGAGGGATTGTGGTCTGTTTGTGATGCCCACCCCGCAACTCGTGTGCGTGTTTACATGGGAGCATCTCCCGCTCTGCTCAGCTGAGGTTACGCCTCACAGACAGCGATCAGCACGCTTGTGTTGCCGTTCTCGTCTTCATCTTACACACACCACCTTGGTGGCTTTTCAGAAAGTACAGGATACTTGAAATGAGCTCCTGTGGGGCATCCCTCTTTCCCCCTCCGAATGGAAGCTGCCGCAGTGACCTGGGCCTGCGCTGTGGCAGCTGCTAGAGTTTTTCCAGCCCTCCCTGGGGCTGCCGCGGACTGAAGCGGGCACAGCTGAACAGGAGCTCCCTGCTCTCCACCGAGCTGCAGCCCTTCCCATTTTGAGTGCCTTAAAACTCTGGATTTAAGAGCCCTGTGGGGAGCCCCGCTCTCCAGGCTTCGCTCGCCGGAAAAGGTGGCAGCGTTTCAGGACCCCCTGGTCACCCGGCCCAAAGTCCTGCCCTGAATCGTCCGCTACGGAGTGGCCCGGGTCTGCAGGCCGATTGCGCGGCAAGGGTGGCCTCCGGGCCGTGGGCTCTGGCGCCAGATCAGTGGCGGAGGAGGGTGGCCCGTGGGGTTCTCCTTTGCCCCACTGCTTTGACTGAGGAGAAGCATGTTGTGTGAACCAGTCCAGCATCTCGCCTGATGTGGCTGCCTTGGTTCTTTGGTGGCAGACGAGATGCTGTCGTCCGACTCAGTTTTGCCGGCTGCTTACCGTGACGCTTGCAAACAAGCCCTCGGCACAGAGCTCGGTTTCTGTTTCTAGCTTCTGGTTCCTGTTTGCGTTTCCCTCCCGGGTTGAAAAACACCGACAACGTAAAAGTGTCAGGAAGACACTTCTGGGTGCTCTGACCTTAAGCGTCAAAGGACAAGCCGGGGCTGGACGTGCCTCCGGACTGAGTCGTTCGGGGAGGCTCTGCCGCCTTCCAATTAGCGCTGCGAGCTCTCTCCGAGCCGTTCCACGTTGACTGTCTCGGATGGCTGCGGCTGCAGCGCACCTTCTTGCTCCCGTCAATAGCAAACATCAAACGTATCGACGGGCCGATCCATAGGTCCACCTCCCAGGTGGCTCCCAAGGCTCTTGGGCTCCAGCTTTTTCAGCCACAGAAATCATTCGTCTTTTATGCTGTTTTGGTCTGTCCTTTGTGGGCGAATCATTTGCTCCAGCCTGTGCCCTGTGGGTTGTGTTGTGGTCTTGCTAAAGAGCAAACAAAAACGGGTGGCCAGATGTCCTTGAGGCGTGCCCGCACTTCGTGTCTGGCCCCCGTTTTTCAGAAGGGCATGCTGTGACCACTGCCACATCCTGCAGCAGGGAGTTGCGCAGGTCGCGTGTGCCTTGTGTAAAGAGGTGCCGTCTCTTGTCCTGAACTGAACGCTTCATTATGTTAGCGGAGAGGTCCTGAAGCAGTGGATGATGGAATGCTGGGTGACGTTTCCTCAGCTGCTGAGTCTTTTGAGCTGGAGGACGTGACTGCAGGATGCAGCCGAAAAGTGGTAATCGCAAGGAATCTGACAGCACAAAGTCTGCTGGAAGTAGAGCGACATTTTGTGAAAACACGCACACAGATGGCCTTTCGTTGCAGCCCGAGGTGCCGGTTGGGCCAGGGAAAGCTTTTCCCCATCACAGGAGAAGCCACCCAGAAAGCCCCCGAAACTCATTCAAGGGACACACAAGGAGGAAGCACGTGGCCTAAACCAGCGCTGTCTCGTGGCCACGCACTCCTCTCCATGTTTGGCCCACGTCAGAAGGAACGGCCTGCGCAAGCCACTTCTGCACGGGGGATGCTTAGGGCAGCCTCCCCCAACCTGGTCGTCCTCAGGGCAGTCGGACCACAACTCCCAGAATTCCCACCCGGCAGGGCCATGGACTGGGAATTCTGGGTGCCGCAGTCCGAACGTGCCTGGAAGGCACAAGGCTGAGGAAGGCTGGCTTGGAGGGAGGAAGGAATTTAGTATTCAGACCTTTCTTACAGAAAGAACGGAGGGTT